AGTGCACAATACTGAGAATACTATACACAGATAAGTGGAATTTAACAGAGAAGTTAGAGCTTAACGGCTCCAAACCATAAGTTTCCCTGTTAGAAGATAATTTTAGAGATCGTCCTCCCCTTTTCCTTCTTGGTATAGAAAGGCAAAGCGCATATGCTTGCTACTGTCACTTATAGATTGTGTTAACGCTACGGCGCGTAAAACAAATCGATTATGTTTGTTCAGTTGTTATCTAGGCCTCATATGACCATCACATCCCTAACAAATCTTGATAAGCACTTCCCAGTGTGATTTGTGATCGATTTTAAAGTGTTCCCACAGCGCAGTGAAATCAAATAATCAAATCTACGCCATTTCAGCACATATTGCCGCAGTTGAAGACGACATATTCATTGAGAAGCTGTTTGCTATATCAGCTTTGAAATATTTCTTGGAATAAAGATAATAGTTACTGCAGCGTATTTATTTCCAACATTGTACATGAATATACTCAAAACTAGAAACAAGAATACAGGATGCAGAGATTACCTTTGTTAGATTTTCTTTATATAAACAACAAGTTAGTCTACATGGTGTCATTCCAAATCGGGGATAGATGGTAAACGAAGACGGGTGACAGTGTTAGCGACAAAAAATTAGACAGAATAGCTCATGACGAAAAATTTGTCACACGATAACACATCAGGAACTGCGTCGGGTGGAAGAAGACGGAAACCGACATACCGAAGAGTGCGAGGGAATCCTTCAGACATGGACAAGCCAGGCTTTTCAAAGACAGCGAGAACTCGATCAAGACCTGTAAATTCACCAGAATCTGGAGGGTATATGAATTACGAAGTAAATGTTTGATGTTACCGAGCTCCTCCTCACAATACTCGAGTAGCGAAACAAAACGCTCCCTAGATACATCTCTGGGATTTTGATCCACGGGTATGATGACAGCTAACGATTTCGGATCCACCATTGCCCAACGCCATTCCTTTGACACTGCACCCACCCGATTTGTCACCTGGAAGTTTGAATGAATGAATTTGAGGGAACGGTTCTGTTTACTTCATTGTGTTGTCATAGCTATCCTGAGTGAGTGACTAACATAGCTATACGACGAAAGGATTAAGAAACGTAGTGAAGACTTAACTATCTAATCCTTGTGATTAACGGATTTGAAGCATCTCAGACGCCTATCAAAACAAGCTGAAGCGGTT